AGAATGTATGCAGTGTGTTAGTTATTGAAACTGTCCTAGCGATTTGATTTGAAACTGTCTCATTGCTATTTGTTTATCAATAAAATTATGAAAAAAAAATAAAAATAAAAAAGCTATTAAAAAAAAAAAAGAAATACAAAACATCATCAGGGACTTTCCTGTTGTCCACCAACAAATTAGAAAACTTAGAAGAAAGCCAGTCACTGTCAGCGTATTTCTCTCCTTACCGCAAGCCTGCAGCTTCGGTGCAGGATCCTGGTCCACCCTCCCTTCTGAGCTGGGGTGGCATTGCCAAAGATGGCGACATGCTCTGGCCTGGGGCTTCCGTGAAGAATCTGATAAATCTCACTCTGCAGCTGGCTACAGTCTACCTCTGTTAGCCTGTAATTAAACAGCATGGTGTCTGATATCCAGTGCTGACAAATCAGCACCCACATTAGTGTATTAATCCGAACATTAGAAACAATACTATAAAATACATTACAAGAAATAATCTTTAGTAGGTATTAAGGGCTGTCAGAAACTCTTAGCAATAAAGAATTATTTATTTAAAGACTACTCAATGGGGCTGGGGAGGTAGTTCAGCGATCTAAGCACCTGCCTGGCAAGCGCAAGGACCTGGGTTTGATCCCTGGTACCACATGCTGTGCCAGCCACCAAAAAACTCTGAAACTGGGCGTGGTGGTGCACAGCTGTAATCTCAGTGCTGGGGAGGTGGAGAAAGGATCACTACGAGTCCGAGCTGCATAGTGAGACCCTGTACCAAATAAACGATTAAAAAAAGAAACAACTCCAACCATTTTCTCAGCTGTCATATAAAATATTCAAGTTACTAGACCAACATCTTCTCTAAAAGATGAGACAAAGTTGTGGGAATGCTGCAGCAGTGAAGTTACCTGAGCTTGCATCCAGATATCGCATTTATTCCAAACTGTACTTCGTGTCTTTTAACAGAGCAAATTCCGTTACCCTGGCTCTGCAAAAGGGTCATCTCAGGTGGAAAAGAGTAAATGGCTAAGGAGCTTGTAACAGCAAAAGAAAGTAGGTACAGCAGAAAGGTTTATGCCTTCACTGTCTCTTTAAAATATGATTTATATTTTATTAATATATCATGCTATTCAAACAAAAAATATTTATCTTCCTCTTTAGTAGTCAAAAAATACAATTACTCTATTTCTAAAAATGGTTCACATTAAAATCTTATTAAAATTACCAAAAATCAGTGCAACCTTCACACTTATATTTAATATTGATGTTCATAACACCAATAAAATTTGGTAAAGAAAGTACTACTTTAAGTACTTAAAAAATGAGAGAAACTCAAGAATTGGAAAATCCAGAAGACCAGCTGCTGCAGCACTTCTCATTAGGCTGCAGCAGGCCACCAGTTCAAGCAAAGGATACAGAGTGAGTGAGGTCACCAGTGAGGACCAGCACAGGCTTCCCGACGACGTAGCCAGGATTCCCACTTCGAGGCACGGCAGCAGCAGCAGCAGCAACTGTGCTCTGCCGAAAAGCCTGCAGAGGGTAAAGTCCAACGTGAGAGGCACGTCTTCCCAACTCCACTGTGTTTTCACTCACTGCCTTTCTTTAAGGTAATGTAACACATGAGCTGCACTGAGTAATCTGGCTTTCCTCCAGTGTAGCCCTTTGCAATTTATATTCTAGTGTTTCTTTTTTTGGTCCCTTCACTAAATTAATGCTGAGTAAACTAAATGTTGAAACACACTATATGCAAATTTAGATTAGAACCAAGGATCTACCAAGAATCCTTCAACCTTCTTAAAAATATTTATCAGTTTAGGGGTATGTTCAGTCTGGCTGAGACCAGAGGACTTTAAATGTAATTAAAAATACATTTTAATATAGTCCAGATGCTGCAGAGAGGAGCTGAGAGACACAGGCCTAGTTGATCAGAGCTGAGAGCTCTGCTGTGTTCAGAGGAAAGACGCAGAAGCAAGCTGAAGGCAGTGGTTTAGAAGCAGGCCCAGCGGAGAAGCACCACGATGCGTGTCCACAAACACGAGGAAATCTGGGTAAAGGTCCCCAGAGTGCTGGCTGAGCTTAAGACTTAAAATGACTATGTAAAGATGAGTTTGGATTTCCTCCTCTTCCCCTCTGCACTGGGAACCGAATCCTAGGCCTGCTCCTCAAGGACTTCCTCTGCTCTCTGAAACAGGGTCTCCTGGAGCTATCAGTTGCTCTGGCTCACCGCGAACTTCCGACCTTTTAGTCTTGGCTTCCTCAAGGGCTGAGACTCCAGGGCTGTGCCACCACACCCGGCCAGAGTTCAGACGGGAGTGCTGCTTTGGGAGGAGCCAGTGTGTCAAGGAAAGATAGTAATACATACGTGTTCCATAGCTACTACGTAACAGTTAAGACATGGCGACACCCCACTTGGCAGACTGAATTAGGACTTTGTGTTCTTTTTTAGGTCTAACCACGTAGTTTGGGCTGGCTTTGAACTATGTAGCCCAGCTGGCCTTGAGCTTGCAGATGATCCTCCTGCCTCAGCCTCCCAAGTGCTGAGATCACAGGGGTGCACCACCCTGCCTGACTTAGGACTTCACATTCTTATACTATTTTGTGTTCATTACAGAAGCAGAGGACTACTTTTAACCAGTTACTTCTCGCCCTCTTGATACCATACAGGAGAAGGGCTCTAACCCTAAAATGAACGATGAAGTCTTGCTGTAAGGAAACAACTGGTTCAATAGTCAGGTTGATCTGCCTAAAGCTGACAGAAACTTGCTGGATTCCAAAGGTTCCATTCGTTTCTATCTCATAGGTGACCTGAAATGCAAAAGAAGGATCAATTAATAAAATGGTGGAATTGATCATGTTTAGGACAGGTTTTCCTTCTATCTGTCTTAAATATGGCAAACACAAATACCATAAAAAGATAAACATGACTTTAATTTTATCTGCACATGAAAAAAAAAGACTAAAACAGTCCTTTGGAAGAATCAAAGAAGAGGTAAGTTTAAGGAAAGTGAGCTTTACCTGTGAGTAGGGGGAGGCAAGTACTAGAGGCAGAGGCGGAAGTACACACAGGACAGGAACCGAGGGCGGGGCTCCTGCACGGGCTGGACACAAAGACAGCTTCTGGGGTACTAAGGCTATATGCATGCAAGGCAAACTGAGGTTCCTGAGCAGTCTGTCAGGTCATACTTTCAGATAATTCTTACTTCTGTAGATTAGATTTATTAGAAGAGACAAGAACAAGTTGGCTGGGGCCAGGGAGATGGCTCAGTAGAGTAAGCGCTTCCCTGGCAAGGGCAAGGGCCTGAGTTCAATCCCTGGTTCTACCAAAAAAACCCCAAAAAAACAAAAAAACAAGTTGGCTAATCAAGTGCAGGCTCTAGATGATAGTGACTTTGCCAACAAAAAATGTGAGCAGTCAGTAAAAGCCAGTTACAGGGCAAAGGAAGAGGCATTACTAATTATTTTAATATTATGAACCTGAAATACTGGAGGATAGGGCAAAGGACCGAAGTGAAATACGGCAGGTGGGTAGGTGGGTAGGTAGGTAGACAGGTAGGTAGGCAGGTAGGCAGGTAGTTCAAAGTGAGCTCTGTGAGGCTGAGTTCTCGTCAGGTTAAATTTCGGGGAATGCGTAGAACTTCAGGTGGATTAGTCTAGCAGTTTCTGGAGGTAGAACACCCGAGGCGGTGCTGATCAATAGGCATGAGCCTAGAAGCTGAGACCAATAAGCCTACCTGGGAAACAGCATTCTGGCAAGTGTTTCCAGCCAGCACAGGAGGATCAGCCTGCGAGGCAAGTGTCACAGGAACCTGGAACTGGGCAGGGAAAGAGGAGTGTTGACCAAAATTGAGTCGTACTTTCTGTTTTAGCTCCATCTTATATCAAAGTGAGTGCTATTCTTTCCTTGATCGTCATTTGTCTCTCCTATTGCCAGCCTACGACTTAAAATCAGAAGCCAACCTAAATCAGTACATCTCAAAACATACTTGTACAACACTTCTATTAGATCCGAAATAAGGCTTCATGGTCTAACACATTCTAGGAATTCTGTATTCAACACTCCCTTCTTAGATACTGACAAGGGTGTCTAGCATTAAAAGACCCCCAGAGGGCCTTCTTAAATGTAATGTGTAACTTCACTTAATGTCGTCCAGAGTTAGTTAACACCGCATCAATCTCTAGTCACATGAAGACAGCTATCCTATTTACTGCTCAGGTTTAGATCCACCCTTCACTGGGGTACACCACACATCTCCCCCATTATAAATAGCACCGTACCTTCATATTCTGCAGGTCAGTCACACCTCGTGGAACCTAGAGTAAGTGAAGAGCGGAGACGTGACTATGCACACACCCTTTCATGGAATCACTGGGGGTTCACATTACCACCAACAAACAGTCTTTGATGGTGGTGGGCGAAAAACATAACGAATGCTTTGCTTTTCTCCCACCTCACTCCTCCTTACATTAATATGCCAAAGACTGATTTGAGATTGGGTAGATCTGACTGCCTACCCTGAATAGTAAGTTCCAGAAATTTGATGAAACAGAGAGCTGCAGCCCTCTCCTGAGCCAATGCTATTAGCCAGGAGGGTGACAAGCTCATCTCCTGGATATATACCCCTAATTCTTTCATTCTTCTTCAGATGATAGTGTTTTTAGGCCCTCTATGTTTTATGTGATTCTTTTTTTTGGCAGAACTGGGGCTTGAACTCAGGCCCTTGTGCTTGTCAGGGAAGCGCTTATTCCACTGAGCCATCTCCCCAGCCCCCTCTATGTTTTAGGTAGCTCTTGGAGATTCTGACTTCAAGTTCAGTGGCACCCTGCAGTAGTGAGAAGCATGCTGACTTCAAACTCCCGATGGGGGCGGGTGGGGAGAGAGGGACACCCACCTTCAAGACCGTGAAGTTATAGTAAGAGCCAGCGTCCAGGGCTGGATCCAAGGTACAGCTACTTGCCAGATTCTTCAAGATGTGAGTGCAGGTTGTACGTTTACTCTCTAAGAAACCTAAAAACACAAAGAAGGCAGTGGTAAACAGGAAAGCACATTTTAACCAACCAAAAATGCTGGCACTTCAGTGCTGGACTCACCTGCAGGATTGCGCTGAGCACAAACTCCCCCAGCTCCCACTCCTGCAGGCTGCCTCAGCAAGCTTATTATAGACCTCGTGGGAAAGTAAGTCAGGATGGGATCCCCAGCCTGAATAAAATATAGGGGACATTTTTCCCACAATAAGACTGAATTGAATAGAAAAAAAAAAAATGGTTAACTCAACAGTTTATTTACACGGAAGGCACTGTCTTCCAAAAGAGGTGAAAACTGTTTACCTGTGGTTTACCACAGGGACAGCTTGCCAACTGGCTGCTATGAGGGAACTAACCTCGACAGCCCCATCCCCTTTCGCAGGCTCACCTTGTAGAAGGGCGGCAGCGGCTGGGGTTGCAATGTTGCACTGCATGAGCCCCCTCCAAACTCCGCAGCCAGGGCTTGGAAACTGGTTGCACTGACCTTCTGGACCTTCTGGAAATAGTTCAATTTTGCTAAAATGTTTTTAAAAAGATAAAAGAAAAATATTTATTTTTAAATACCTGGCATGCCAGGTAACTAATTTGAAATTTCTTTCCGCTTATGTAATGATTGTAGAGATTTGGTACACAACACAGCCAAATTCCCTTTTCATCTCAGTCTTCACCCTCCACCTCTTGGGTCCCCTTCCTTTTTAGAAAACATCTATCTTCCTTTTAGTAAATAATTTTTAAAAACGCATTTATTGAAGAATAAAATACACAAAATGATGTGTATGAATATACTGAAGTCTAAACTCAACTTTTACAAATCCACATACTGCATTACCACCACCCAGATCGGCACATAACATTTTTCTGGAAGATTCCAAGTCAATACTGTACTGCTAGGGACAATAATTCAGATTTCTATCACCTCTTATTTGTGACTTCTTAACTGAATTACTGTTACAGTAATAAGACCTAAGTGAAGAAAAGGATCAGTGAATGCCTCCCCAGTGTAAGTCTCTAGTGGCCAAGAATAGGCAGGATTAGCAATTTGTGATGAAAAAGGAATTAACGATCCTATTCGATCTACGAGTGTGATCAAGATGGCACTGTTTCCACGGGAAGATGGTAAACTTCGAGATAATATTTGACCTGTTCTCCCCAGTCTTCCTGTTTCCTCTAAACTTCAACTGACCAGTTCCACACTGTACTAACACATCCAGCTCTCTGTAGTACCCTGTCGTGAACTTAATTTGTTCTACAATAGATGAACAGACGCCTGCTTTTATGTTTGCAAGGAAAGATGGCCACAGCTGTATTTGGCACTTGACGAGTTTACAAGCAGAAACAGAATTCTGTCTAACACTTCTGTCTGTAAGCCAGATTGCTTGTGAACAAGCGTTCACGAACTGAGCTACCGCTGAACATAGATGACCAGGTTTTATTTCTTCCCTTATACTTTCTACAGTCGAGACTTCAGACCCCCAAAGGGCATTTTCCCCAGCAATTCTGTATTTTCTCTTAGGGCAACGTACACATCTAAGTAAGTGGCTGCAGACATCTCTCTACAGCACGCGCTCACCCAAGAAAGAGACGCAGGACGGCAGAGGACAGTGCTCTGCTTCACTACTCCAAGTTGTCTGCTAGCTGGAAAAACAGAACACAGCAAGAACATTCCTCGCTCCTATTCTTCTTCATGTAATTATGGTCACTCTGATAGAGCAAAACAGGCAACAAGACCACAGTCACTAAAAGCTAAAGAGGATTCCACATTAAATAAGCTTGACCTTTATCCTCTCTAATTACGTCTCCATTATTTGACTTTTCAGTCAAATCAATCTATGTCATTGGTCAACTAAAGTTCAGAGGAAAAGACAGTACCATTTTGTGGAGCAAAGAGCAGCACTATCAGGTTCCTCTTCTCATCACATTGCTAGTCATGCCCTTTCTTGGCTATCAGAGACTGTGAAGTGCCCTTTTCATACTAACCACGAAGCCATTCCTCAGCCTCATTCAAGGAAAG